AATACCTAAGAGGTCAGTGTTTCTATACTATCAAATTTCATTTAAGTTTGAATGTTGTTTGTTAATATTAGGATATGTTGCGTTTTTCGACCTCTTAAGTTCAATTTATACTCTCAAACCAGATAACCCACATAAGAATTAAAACATGGGCAGTTTCAATATCATTACGCAAGATGATATTCATTATTTATAGCAATAATTGTACTTTCTTACGCGCATGAAGTTACAAGTTTTCACAATGAGGCAGATTACACGTTACATCTATATATAGCTGGGATGTTATAACAATTGTACAATATTTATCTAAGTACTGTTGCCTAGATTTACAAAGGGTGAAGTTTCTTAGCCAATATCTGCGAATTTCAGGTGTGTGTGTTTTTTCACAACCGTTTTAATTGTGCGTTATGTAAATTAATCCAGAGATGCGTAAAAAAAGATGCCTTTGTCTTCCTTAATGGATCATTACAAAAAAGTTGCACTTTCGTGAAATTAATTGCGATCTCACAAAGTCGAACTGTCGTTGTTAACATAGTGGTGTGTGAAACATACCAATAGTTTCTTTTCCTATTAATTAATTTAGACAGGCGGACTTTTTGTTGTTGTTCAAAGAGAATTTTCAAAACATTCATATGTATGGATATGGGCGTGTATTTTGGCTTTGCATATAGAGAAACTGGTTATACGAGGCCTGTGAGAAAAGTATCCGACCTTTGGCCGTGGAATAAAAACTGTCATACCTGGAGCGTTGGAAACCTAATCACCCTCAAAGTAGTCTCCTTGGGACTCCACACACTTCTCCCAGCGGTGCCGCCATTGTTGGAAGCATTCCGAGAAAGCCTCTTTCGAAATGGAGTTTAGCTCGGCTGTCGTTGCAGCCATAATGTCCTCTTTTGTCTGAAATCGCGTTCCTTTAAATGGCCTCTTGAGTTTGGGGAACAGCCAGAAGTCGCAAGGAGCCATATCAGGAGAGTAAGGAGCCTGTTGAACCACAGGAGACCGGAGTTGTGGTCAACAGGAAATTGGCACCTCCATCACGACAATGCTCAAGCACATTCCTCGCACTTGAT